AGATGACCTTTCAGCCACATCCACCACCTTCCAGTAAAAATGACTAACAAAAGGAATGAGAGGCATCCACTATATGTTCTCTAGGCCTTTTAGAAAACATGGCTCCTCTTGCCACATATATGTAAATCTACAAGAAAGGTGATATTGTACACATCAAGGAAATGGGCACAAATGCCCTACAAATGTTACCATGGCAAAACTGGAGTCTACGATGTCACCCAGCCTGCAGTGGGTGGTGCTGTGAACAAGGACAGGATTCTTGCCAAGAGGATTAATGTATGCATAGGGTATATTAAGCACTCTAAGAGCCAAGATAGCTTCCTGAAACATGTGAAAAAAACAAAACAAAAACAATCAGAAACAGAAGCCAAAGAGAAAAGTACCTGGGTTCAACTGAAGCACCAACCTGCTCCACCCAGAGAAGCATACTTTGTGAGAGCCCATGGAAAGGAGCCTTAGCTGCTGGAACCCGTTCCCTATGAATTTATGGCATTATAAGTGTACAAAAATAAAAGACCTCCATGCTATTTTAAAAAAGAAAAGAAAGAAAGAAGAGGCAAGAAACAAAGAGTATTTACTCAAATGTCACTGGATTCCTCTCTTGATCAGGAAGAACACTAAAAACTGAGTTTGATGTGATTGGGATTAAATTCCAAAGTCTTACAAGAATCTTCAGAAATGCTTGACATAACAATCACAATAAATGTGATATATATATATATATATATTTAAAACTTTTAAAAATTTTATTTTTGTTACAGATGTTTCTCCTTTTTTACCCCATTGACACCCTCCTCCCCATCCCCCCCACCCCATCCCCAGCTTTGTTGTCCATGTCCATTTGTTATGTGTACATGCTGTGGTTTATCTCTTCCCTCCCCCTACCACCCTCTCTTCTGAGGGTTGTCAGTCTGTACCCTACTTCCACGTCTCTGGGTCTACCCTATTCCTTAGACTGTTATGTTCATTATATTCCACAAATAAGTGAGATCACGTGGTATTTGTCTTTCTGCTTGGTTTGTTTCACTTAGAATAATACTTTCCAGGTCCCTCCATGTTGTTGCCAAGGATAAGAGAGCTTTTTTTCTTACAGCTGCATAGTACTCCGTTGTATATATGTACCACAGCTTTTTTATATGTACCATTCATCTACTGATGGACATTTGGGCTGTTTCCAGATCTTAGCTATTGTAAACAGTGCTGCTATGAACATGAGGGTACACACATTCTTTCTGATTGGTGTTTCAGGCTTCTTACGGTATATTCCTAGGAGTGGAATCACTGGGTCAAATGGAAGTTCAATTTTTAATTTTTTGAGGTAACACCATAGTATTCTCCAAAGTGGCTGCACCAGTCTGCATTCCCACCAACAGTGTACTAGAGTCCCCTTTTTTCCACACCCTCGCCAACACTTGTTTGATGATTTGTTGATGGTGGCCATTCTGAGAGGTGTGAGGTGATACCTCATAGTTGTTTTAATTTGCATCTCTCTGATGATTAGTGATGTTAAGCATTTCTTCATATGTCTCTTGGCTATTTGTATGTCCTGTTTGGAGAGGTGTCTATTCAGTTCCTCTGCCCATCTTTAATTTGGTTATTTGTCTTCCTTTTGTTGAGTTGTACGAGTACTCTAAATATTTTGGAAATTAACCCCTTATCTGATGTATCATTGGCAATGATGTTCTCCCATACAGTGGGTTGCCTTTCCATTTTGATGGTTGTTTCTTTTGCTGTGCAGAAGCTTTTTAGTTTGATGTAGTCCCCATGTGTTCATTTTTTCCTGTTTCTGTTGCCTTAGGTGATGTATTAGTGAAAATTCTGCTGCGTGTAATGTCCGAAATTTTGTTGCCTACATTTTCTTCTAGGATTTTTATAGATTTGTGGGTCACATTTAAGTCTTTTATCCATTTTGAGTTTACTTTTGTGTATGATGTGAGTTGATGGTCTAGTTTCATTTTTTGCATGTAGCTGTCCAATTTTCCCAATACCACTTATTAAAGAGGCTGTCTTTACTCCATTGTATGCTCTTGCCTCCTTTGTCAAATATTGAGCATAATGTCTTGGGTCAATTTCTGGGGTCTCTGTTTTGTTCTACTGGTCTATATGCCTGTTCTTGTGCCAGTACCAGGCTGTTTTGATTACAGTAGCTTTGTAGTATAACCTGATATCTGGTATTGTGACCCCACCTACTTTGTCCTTCTTTTTCAAGATTGCTGTGGCTATTTGGGGTCTTTTTTGGTTCCATATGAACTTTGAAGTATTTGTTCTAGTCCTGTGAAATATGTCGTTGGTATTGTGATGGGGATTGCATTGAATCTATAGATTGTTTGGGTAATATGGACATTTAAATAATGTTAATTCAATCCATGAAAAAGGTATGTGCTTCCACTTTTTTATGTCTTCCTCTATTTCTTTTTTCAATGTCCTATAATTTTCTGCAAATAGGTCCTTTACTTCTTTGGTTAAGTTTATTTCTAGGTATCTTAATTTTTTTGCCACGATGGTAAATGGGATTGTTTTTTCAGTTTCTCTTTCTAAGTTCATCATTGGTGTATAAGAATGCTGTTGATTTCTTGACATTAATTTTGTATCATGCTACTTTGCCAAATTCATTTATTAAGTGTAGTAGATTTTTGGAGTCTCTAGGGTTTTCTACATATATCATGTCATCTGCAAATAATGACAGTTTCACTTCCTCCTTTCCATTTTGGATCCCTTTTATTTTTTCTTCATGTCTTATTGCTGTGGCTAAGACTTCCAGTACTATGTTAAATAAGAGTGGCGAAAGTAGGCATCCCTGTCTTGTTCCTGTTCTTATGGGAAACGCTTTGTTTCTGCCCATTGAGTATAATGTTGGCTATGTCTTTCATATATGGACTTTATTATGTCGAGATATGATCCCTCTGTTCTCACATTGCTGAGCATTTTTATCAGAAATATATATATATTTTTAATGATTTTATCTTTAGAGAGAGGGAGGGAGGGATAGAAACAATGATGTGAAATATGCACACCCCCTACTAGGGATCAAGCCCACAACCTAGGCATGTGCCCTAACCAGGAATCAAACTGGGACCTCTCAGTCCATGGGACAATGCTCAATCCACTGAGCAACACCAGCCAGGCCAAATGTGATATTTTTACAAAGTTATGTGCTGTACCTTGATCAAAGATGGGTGTCAAGATATATGGCACCTGATATATTATGGAATTCTAGGGAAACCCTCATTAGTCATGGCTCTACAAAGTAAAGCAAGAGCCAGGAATAGCTAAGTATTTTAAAAAATAATGAATTAAACAGTGATGCCAAATCTGAATATAAGGTAAAACAGATTCTTAAGAGGTGCATTGGTGCCACCTTTTGGCCAGATTAAAAATGTACACAAATTACAACCTACAATCACATTAAAAATTTTTTTTAAAAAAATGTTTTTATTGATTTTAAGAGAGAGGAAGAAAGGAGAGAAACATGGATCAGCTGCTCCTGCACATCTCCTACTGGGGATATAGCCCCAAACCCGAGCATGTGCCCTGACTAGGAATAGAACCAGCAACATCTTGGGTCAACACTTAACCACTGAGTCACACCAGCAGGGTTACAATCACATTTTAATTTCAGAGAGACTTGTTAGAGACACAAATGTTTTATTCAAATATTACATGAATATATTTAAAATTGTCTTGTTACTTGGTACATCTCTGATTTTTAATAACCACATTAAAAAAATCTTTTAAAGGCTGGGAAAAAAAAAAACAAATAGAATTTAATTCTGAACTAACACCTCTAATACTCTGTAAGAACAATATTAACTTCAAAGATGACTGAGACAGCCCTGACCAGTCTGGCTCAGCGGTTAGAGCATCGGCCTGCGGTCCGGAGAGACCCAGGTTCGGTTCCCGCTAAGGGCACGTACTTCGGTTGCAGTTTGTCCCCGGCCCTGGTTGGTCGTGCGGGTGGCAGCCACTCGATGTGTCCCTTCACGTCGATGTTTCTCTCTCTCTCTCTCCCACTCTATCTGTACAAAAAATGGAAAAAATATCCTCGGGTGAGGATTAAAAAAAAACAAGGAAAAAAAAAAAAAGATGACTGAGACAGAAATCCCAAAATTTCTTGACAACCATCACAGAACTCCTTTTAAGCTTTTAGACCAGGATTAGTCAACCTCAGCACTACTGACATTTTGGGCTGGGCAGCTCTTTGTTGCCCTGCATGGTGAGATGTTTATCAGCAGACCAGGCCTCTACCCACAAGATACCAGTAGTAACCTTCCCCCAACCCAGTCTGACAACCAAAAATATCTCCACATTGCCCAATGTCCGTATGGTGACGGGGGGCACCCTTGTGATGGTTGACATTGTGTATCAACTTGACTGGGCCATGGGGTTTGGTCAAACACTACTTTGGGTATGTCTGTGAAAGTGTTTTTAGATGATATTAACATTTGAATCAGTAGACAAAGTAAAGCAGACTGCCCTCTCTAATGTGAATGACCCTAATTCAGTTAAATGAAGGCCTGAATAGAACAAAATGGCTGACCCTAAGAGTAAGGCAGCGACTTTCAACCGGTGCGCCACAAGAACTTTTAAAACATGCACTACCTGGCTATTTAGTCAGGGGCACTGACCTCTTCTCCCTTACACTGTCAAATAAAAAAAATGATAACAGGGGGGTGGAGGGGAGAATCAGTGGGGGGGAAAGGAGAAACATCTGTAACAAAAATTAATTAATTAAAAAAAAATAACAGCTGCCCTGGCTGGGTGGCTCAGTTGGTTAGAGCATTGTCCCAATTGGCCAAGGTTGCAGGTTCGATCCCTGATCAGGGCACAAACAAGAAGCAACCAATGAATGCATAAATAAAAAAACAATAAATTGATGTTTCTTTCTCTCTCCCTCTTCCTCTTTCAAAATTAAAAAAACCAACAAACAAAACAAAACGCTAGCCAACACAATAGCTGGCTGGTGTGAATGGATCAAAATTACACCTATTTTTTGGGTCTGATTGTCAAAAAATATATTTATTGGTGTGTCCCAAAATTTTAGTAATTAGTTTATGTGTGCTATGAGATGAAAAGGTTAAAAACTGCTGGAGTAAGGGGATCTTCTACTTGACTATTAGCTGGGACATTGGTCTTTTCCTGCCTTTGTGGGCCTGCTGGTTTTGGGACTAGAAATGCACCATCGGCTTACCTGGGTCTCCAGCTTGTCAAATGTAGATCTGTGGACTTCTCAGCCTCCATATTTGGGTGAGCCGATTCCTTATAATCAGTCAGGAACCAATCACTCTCTCTCTCATTATGCGTCAACCTGACTGGACCATGGGGTATACACACACATACACATTCACTCACTCGCATCCTATTGGGTTGTTTCTCTGGAGAATCTTAATACATCGGGGTTGAGACCCACTGTTATAGATTATGTTACTGGAGGAGAAACAGTAGGGAGTAAACAGGGAAGACAGAAGCAAAGCAAGAAACTTCTAGGAAATGACTAGGTATTACCTTTCTTTCCAGAGATTTCAGTTGGATTGTGGTTGATAAAAGTGGACTCCCTGATACGTTTTTGCATCACACATCCAAAATGTCACCTGGCACAGAATACTTACCTGGATACTAGGAAGACATTTGGCAGACTCTACTGTAAAATAAGAACACATTCTATAAGCTGAGCTAATAACAGATTATGTTTATGATTAAGTCACATTAATTTGTCATGATAAAATACATGAAATCCACTTGTTACTCCATAAAAAACTTTCTAAAAGAATGTTTCTGAAGCAAACTCATAGTACATTTGGTGGAAGAGTTTAACCATACAATGTATTTTTGATTTCAGTCTCCTGTATTTTGCTATGTGTTACTTGTATTTGAAGATTTCTTCAGTGGGCCTTTTTTCCTGTACAAGTTTTTGAAATGCAAGTTTCTTTGAAAGTATTTTAAATTGATATCTTATCTAATCTGAATAAATAACTTTATTTGGCACAAAATAGAAGCATTGATAACAGTTAATGTGAATTGTACTGGAGCAATATCTACTAAGTAATCAAGTGCACAAATACACACTGAAGCACAATGGATTCTTCAAGGTCTTGAAGACAAAAATCACAGAGTGGGACTCCTTATATTTAAGACATCCAGGTTTGAAATTGTGTAATCTCACCAGTTTTCAAAAAGTCCAAACATACAAACACAGAAGTACGGCAGAGAATAATCATTTACAGATTTCACTCCAGGAATTTAAAAATTAATTCTAATAAAATTCCATAGAACTACATTTAGTTTAAAACATACAGAATCACAAGTTACATTATGAAAACTTCTCATGTATCCTACTCTTACCTCAATTACTACAAAAAATTCATACTTATCAATGATCTGAGTTAAACATCAAGAATATATAGGCCCGTGCAAATAAACATCAGTAGAATTATACATTTTCAGGTTTTTTTCCATGATTAATATATATTTCCTTCTATTTTAAATGAAGCCTTTCCAATACTATTTTAATAGAACATAATGAATTATGGTTATAATTCCCAATCTATTTATTGTCCCCATCTACTTTTTAGATAACTTACATCAAAGAAATAAAAATATTTTTACCATTGCTTTTCTTCCTTTTCCTAGGTGTAAACAATACCTTTGGAAGAACTTCCAGTAAAGCTGAAATTGACAAGGTTTTATTTCCAGAAATGCAAAAGAACTAATATACTTCTTGGTAAAGTCTTAGAAAAATATTAATGATTAAACTATAGTAGAACAGGAATTCTGGCAACACTGTTGTTTCTAGAGTATTTGTAAAAAATAAAAATAAGAAATTTGTCAATTAATTATTGAGTATTACATAGTATATGACTGCTTTTAAGATGTTCTAGAATATATGGGTTGGAATACTAAAGTTAATACATTTAGCTACAGAATATATGTAGTTTTCTTTATATGGCTGGTTTTTATCGATAATACTAAGAGCTTACAACAATTTTAATACAAATCCTCACAACACCCCTGTGAGGTAGGGATTGCTTATATCTAATTTACAGATGGGAAAGCAGAAAATCAGAATAGGAAATAATAATCTCAAGAGAAATAACATAAATCAAGAAAATTTAGTTTTCTTATAAGGCAGACTACACTTATCAGATACTGAGTTCTGACAATATGGCCAAAAAGGACAAATACTGATACAGTCTGTTTTTCTCCAGGAAATAACTATGAGTAGTATCTAGAAAGAAGAGGAAAATTCTAATCTAATCCAAGGGGAAAATGTCTGTTTAGTATTTGCCCGATACACTGATTAAGGTTTATATAGCATTTCCAGTTTTTAAGAGTTTGGTAATAATTATGCAAACTGTTCTGTATGGCTAAGATTTTTAGCTCCATTTTGAAGATGATTAGTCAACACTAAAAAGGACTTAGCTAGAAGAACACTTTTTTATACAAAGTGATTTTCTTAGTGAGAATCCCTATCTTAAAAAAATACACTTAGGGCACAGTGTTAGTCCTAACAGTTATTTTAAAAATATGCCTGCTGAACAAATGAAAACAAAATGAAATGGGTCAGTCTCCACACCACTGTTCACTGGTTCTCCAGAACCCAGCTTTGGGGATTTGTTTTTTTCTATAAAATGGAGTTAACATTTTTCCACTTCCTAAAACAGAGAGAATACTGTGAAGACTAAGGAAAGAACATTTGCTTTGAATTCCTAATATTAAAAGGAACTACATGAACAGGAATAAAAATACAATTAACCACTATTTTCTCAACACCCAATAAATGTAGATATATTTCTGCTTTAAATTAATGTTGTCTACCATGGCCAATCAGCCACAAGCAAACTCTTACCATTTCTCCAGACGTTGCCCTGAATTGCTGCACAATCCCACAACTCATATATTCCCTAATCACACCCTTTAGATACAAACTTCTTGTGTCAAGGACCAATGACTGAGCAAGTAGTAAAGAACTGTGAAAAGTCAGAAAAATTATGAGAAACAATAAAAATGAAAAAAATAAAATTTTACTTGAAGATGGTTAGGGAATATATTTCCTGAATAGTCTAAAAGACATGAAAATCAATGCTAATATTTGTGTTCATCCTATGAGATGAAATGTTTGAGGGCAGTATGAGTTAGAGTATTTAATTAAATGATTTAAGGTTAAAATTAGATAAAAGTTCTGACCCCAAAGAGCAACACATTTATTTTAACCATTCCCAATACAATTGATCCTATATCCATACCTAGTTAGATTTTTCTCTCAACACATATCAGTCTTGAACCCAGGAGACTTTACTCACTTGTCTAAGGTAGAAACCCTATGGCCTGGCCAGTGTGGCTCAGTGGTTGAGTGTCGTCCCATGCACCAAGAGGTTACCGGTTTGATTTCCCATCAGGGCACACACCCAGGTTGTGGGCCTGATCCCCAGTGGGAGGCACGCAGGAGGCAGCCAATCCATGTTCTCTCTCATCAATGTTTCTATCTCTCCCTCTCCCTTCCTCTCTCTCTAAAAATCAATAAAGGAAAAAAAAATTTTTTTTAAAGCACTAAGATAGAAACTCTACTGCTTTAGACAATGCCCAGTGGTTTTCTTCATTCAACCCTCAAGAAAAACTTACCACTTCATAATTCAGCTAACCTCAATTTACCCAGAGGAAACCTGTGCACCTTTAGAATGAGCTGTATTACCTGCTCTTTGAGGTCCCTCCTAACTAAACTCTGATGGTGTCAGGAAATGACCTCAGAGTGTGCAGTCACAAAGAATATTTAAAAAGTTTTTGTATGCCGTTAAATTCTATGCCTCACAACCCAAGTTTATCAGATTTATTAAAATATCTGTGAGGCTTAGTATTTAACAGAGCAGTACACAAAAAAGATAAGGCTGTTTTGAAACCTTTCTCTTTTGTTATTCTTGACCATCTAGTATTAGATAAACATTACAGAAACAATTTAGATCTATCCTTTGTGGTGAGGTTTGATCAGCTATTTCCCAGCTACACAGAACAGTAGAATCTATCATTTAGTATATCAATTTTAATTTTTCTGGGGTTTTAGTTTTATAAGTTTCATCACTATAAAAGGGAGTTAAAAGTTTATTCACAGAGAAAAATCTACCACAGATTTTAAACATAGTTCTAGGACATTGACTCTATCTACTCTGCTGGTTTTATGGACCAGAAAAAAGTGAAAACTGTCACTGAAAAATTACTTTTCAAGGACTGTTAGAAAATTAATTCAGGCAGCCTAGAAAATCCTCAGACACTGAGGGTATAAAGATAATATGTAGTTTTAACATTTTCCTTCTTAAACTCATGGAAACCTCTAGCCATAGAAAAAATCTCCAGTTGTTCTTACGGTCTTTAAGAAAACATTAGATTAAGTTAACAACACTGGGGTGTTAGTCTATGCAGATCTATCCAAATCTCTGTCTCTGTATGCTCATCTATGTGTATGTACCTTATTGTTACTCTCTTTAGGATTTTTTATGTCTGACTCTTCTCCTTTTCTCTCATTTTGAACTAAAATATTTTTTATTAAAAATGAGGTATGAACCCTGGCCAATTTGGCTCAGCGGTTAAAGCCTTGGCCCGTGGACCAGAGAGTCCCAGGTTCGGTTCCCCCTAAGGGCATGTACCTCAGTTGCGGTTTGTCCCCGGCCCTGATTGGGGTTGTGTGGGTGGCAGCCACTCGATGTGTCTCTCTCACATCGATGTTTCTCTCTCTCTTCCTCCCTCCCTCCCTCCCTCCCGCTCTATCTGAAGATAAATGCAAAAAAAAAAGAGGTATGCGCACAATGTTAAAAGAAAAATAAAAGCCATGTAAAATGTTGCAGATCTAGTAAGTAAAACATAATTTTAAAACTGCTCATGATTTGGTATAGCTATGCTTCAAATAATTTTTTATATATAACATAGTTATACATTAAAATAACTACTAATTTCCTATATGGCGAAAATATTTTTACATAATTCTCATAGGAGCTTATGCATGTGAAATGTTAGCCAAAAGTACCAGTCTAAAATATTCTTTAAAAATATTTCATTTACTTCATATTAATTTGATTTTACTGATTCTACAACCTGGAAAAACTTACAAATTCTATATATAACTATTTACTCTAAAGTTCCATATTACTACAATGATTTCTGTTTTCTAAATTGCGAATTTATGAAAAAGTTCACAGTCCTCGATGAAGGTTATTTTAATAGCCATGAATTAATATCTTACAATAAGGTGACCTAATATATACAATGTTAAAACTATGGATAAATGGTAAAAAACAAAGTCACTAAAACTCGAGGAAAATATTTTATGAATAAAAATGCATGTAAATTTTGTCAGAATTGATATAAAAATTCTGAAAGAGGAACTGCTACTCAACTAGGATAGTGTCCACATTTTCTTGTGTGAGCTCTGACTCTAAGGCACAAGATGAGTCTAACTGTTCTTGCGACAAGCGAGAACTTTTCAGGGGGACATCAGACCAGCTGTCACAATATGGCTGAAATCTCTGGGCTAATGCATTACCAAACCTTTGGCATCGGTTGTATCTGTAAGATTTACCTTTGTGTGTATACATGTGTTCCAGCAATTGGCTCTTTCGGAGAAATTTATGACCACAGATGGTACAGCTGATTTTTCTTTTCCTTGAAAAAGAAAAATTACAGTTTAATTCTACTGGCTCTGTGTCTTTGGAGATCAAAGACACTTGACTGATCTGCAAAGGCTCAGTGGTACCGCGGTTTGAGTGGTCAGGCTGTTGCTCATTCTCCTTGACAATGAAGGAGCTGAGCCTGCGGCAGTCAAGAGTGTCGTTATTTTCATTAAGTGGATGCACTTCACCAAGGTCATTACTTTCCAGAATGGAAGCAGGGACACCAAATGGGAGAGATCCAGACACATGCGTATGGAGATGTTGTCTTAGGTTACCACGGGAATCAAAACGTTCTCCACAGTAATGGCATAAGTGAATTTTGATACTACTTTCTGTGAAAGTGGGACCTGTCATCTCTGATGAGGATGAGGAGTGGCTTTGGGAGATCACAGATTCTGGGTCACATCTCTCCTGCTTGATGGACACTGGAGGCTTCTGGTGTTCCTCCAAGGCCTGGGCAGCAGGACGGGCCCTCTGCTGGTCAGCAGTGCCATCATCCAGCCCAATAGCAAGAGAAAGCTGCAACTGGGGGTGGTCACTCTGGACAGCGGCTCTGTTTCCATTGTTATTGGAAGGAGCTTCTTTGACCTCCAGCCCTTGTTTGACAGCTGCTTTTTGGGTTGTTGAGATTTGAATACCATACAAATTTGAGGACTGCACAGTCTCTGGTGAGAACACTTGATTCATTTCAGTTGCAATGTGAGAAAGGTAGTCGGCGTGAAGAAATCGAATCCCTTCCTCCAAGCGACTATGATCCACAATCTGTTTTGGCCCTTTCCCCGTGTACATAATGTGCAACAAATAGCTGAATATGTCGGGTTGGATATCTGTTGGTTGTATTTTTATGCATTCACTGTTAAAAACAAAAAACAGATCCACACAAAATGAAACAACCTAGTTGGCCTTTTAGTTAACAGTATACAGTCTTAGGATAAAGCAATTTCTTCCTAAGAAGTTTAAACTTAGCAATCTGCCTTGATGGAACACAGCAACAAAAGTTTAAACTTTCATTGGATACCAGTTTTATGGCTCAGCAACCATTCTTCACGTATCTAATCTACTGCCTAAAGTTACAAAACAGACAGATATTCTGATTAGTTCAACATTTATGTAGTGACTTCTAAGTGATACTGGCTGTCAGAGAGTAGAAAAATTACAAAAAAAAAGAAAAATTACAAATAAAATAGGTACCCTGCTCTTAAGGAACTTCACAGTCTATTGAGTATATAACCAAAAGAACCAAAAACAGGGACTCAAACAAATACCCATACACCAATGTTCAGTACAGCATTATTCACATTAGCCAAGAGATAGAAACAACCCAAGTGTCCATCAACAGACGAATGGATAAACACAATGTGGCACATATATACAATGGAATATTATTCAGCTATAAAACAGAATGAAGTTCTGACACATGCTAGCTCTATGAATGAACCTTGAAAACATGCTAAATGAAATAAGCTAGATACCAGAGGATAAGTTTTATATGATGCCACTTATAAGAAATATCTGGAATAGGCAAATTCATAGAGACAGAAAGTAATTTAGAGATTAGCAGGAGCTTGTAGGAGTGGTGGTGGTGGTGGTGGTGGTGGTGGTTGAGGAGTTATTACTTAGATAAAGTTTCTGGAGTAATAAAAAGTTTTAGAAATAAATAGTGGTGATGGCTGCACAACACTGTGAATATAATTAATGCCACTGACTTGTACAATTAAAAATGGTTAATATGCCCTAGCTGGTGTGACTCAGTAGAGCGACAGCCCATGCACCAAAGGGTCACAGATTTGATTCCCAGTCAAGGGCACGTACTGGGTTACAGGTTCGATCCCTGGCCCTGGTGGGGGCATGTGCAGGAGGCAACTAATCAATGTGTCTCTCTTACACCGATGTTTCTGTCTGTCTCTCTCTCTTTCCCCCTCCCTCCCTTCCAGTCTATAAAATGCAATGGAACAATATTCTTGGTTAAGGATTGACAACAACAAAAAATGGTTAATATGACAAATTTTATGTTATATATATTTTATCACAATAAACATATTTAAATATGTTAAAGGGTGTATTGAAATTGGTCATTTATTTTTATTATTATTTTTTTTAATCCTCACCTAAGGATATATTTTTTCCAAATATTCAGATAGAGTGGAGGAAGAGAGAGAGAAACATCAATGTGAGAGAGACACATCGATTGGCTGCCTCCCACACGACCCTGACCAGGGCCAGGGGCGAACCGCAACCGAGGTATGTGCTCTTGGCCAGAATCAAACACGTGAATCTTTGGTCTGCGGGCCAATGCTCTAACTGCTAAGCCAAACCAGGCAGGGCAGTAATTTATTTTTTATATTTTTTAAATGTATTGGGGTGACATTGGTCAATATGATCATATTGGTGAAATTGGTAATATTTAGAATTTAAATTATGCTAACCATATTTTGTCTTCCAAACTATATTAATATCTACTCTTTAAGATTTTTTTTCTTTATTGATTTTAGGAGAGAAAGGAAGGAAGAGGGAGAAAGAGATAGAAACATTGATGAGAGAGAATATCAATTGGCTTGCCTCTTGCATGCCCCCCACTGGGGATCAGGCCCACAACCTGGGCATGTGCCCTGACTGGGAATCGAACCAGCAACCTGTTGGTGCATGGGTCAACGCACAACCACTAAGCCACACGGGCAATACATCTACTCTTTAAATCACAAATAAAATACAGGGATAACTTTGAAAAGTTTAAAATAACTCCCACGCCCATTTTTTACATAAGAATCCAGAATTCAGACAACAGATGGAAGTAACTCTGTGACAGGAAGTCAAGAAACACCCTGAAAAATTAGGATAAAGACAACCTGAGGAAAGTGTTGGATGTCAAGGAATAATGGAATCAGTCAATGGACTTACTTCCCAGAAGCAAAACTTGTATGAATGCATCAGAAAGCACTGGGTGTCAGCATGCTGACAATCCACTTCTGTAGTCCTGATATCTTGGGCTTCCCTCCTGGACTTCACTCTTAGCTCTGACCCACCCACTTTCACAGTCTGTGGCAGGTGCTTTTTATATCAGTACAGAGCTCTGTTAACTGAGGATTTTTAGTTGCTCAACAGATAACATATAGCAGGCTGCCACCTTTGTATCTCCTGGACTTACTTTAGCAAGATGCCTGGTACACAATAAGTATCATGAGAGCTGAACCAATTCATAGCTCTCAGACAAGACTGATGTGAAGGTAGTGCTTCTAATCTAGTTTCTACATTGACACTAGTCAGAGAGGAAATTCTTTGGCATGGCAGAAAATACTACCCATTACCTGTCCCCCACTCTAACCTCCTCTCCACTTTGTGCCATACATTCCAATCATTCTGATCTAGCCTGGTTTATATCTGCATGTTTTCCTCTGTCTTCAATGAACTTTCTTGCATTCCTCTACATCTGAAAAACAACTAATCCTTTAAGATTCAGGGCCTTTGTAAAACCTGTTCCAACCTTCTCAAAATAGAGCTGCTGACACTCCACTCTACCTTGTACAATACTACTAATACAGACTTACCACATTAATTATTAATAACAGCAGCTAACAGTGCAAAGCTCCTGTTCTAAGCATTTTATATTATTAATCCATTTAATCTTCTCAACACCATGAGTGGGTACACCATTCTAGTGTTTTACAGAGAAAAAAACTGAGGCACAGAGAGAAATTACACTGTAATCATTTTCTTTACATGCATTACCTCTCTATTGGACTATACATTTCTTGAGGGCAGGGATTATAACTTATCTGTTACTGGGGTTTAGTACAGTGCCTGACATGTAAGTGTTGAATGAATGAACAATTTAAAAAATGTATAACCGAGCCCTGGTCAGGTGGCTCAGTTGGTTGGAGTATCATTCGTACACCAAAAGGTTGCAGGTTTGATCCCCAGTTGGGGCACATATGGGAGGTAAATGATCAATGTTTCTCTCTCACATTGATGTCTCTCTCTCTCTCTCTCTCTCTCTCTCTCAAAATCAATAAGAAAAAAACAAACAAACAAAAAAACCACATACATCCTCGAGTGAGAAGTTAGAAAAAGAGAGAAAACTGCCCTGGCCAGTTTGGCTCAGCAGTTAGAACATTGGCCTGTGGACCAGAGACCCAGGTTTGGTTCCTGCTAAGGGCACGTACCTCAGTTGTGGTTTGTCCCCAGCCCTGGCTGGGGTTGTGTGGGTGGCAACCAGTCGATGTGTCTCTCTCACATCAATGTTTCTCTCTCTCTCTCTTCCTCTCTCTCTCCCTCCCGCTCTATCTGAAGATAAATGCAAAAATGTCCTTGGGTGAGGATTAAAAAAAAGAGAGAGAAAAAACTAACTTAAAAAATTAAGTATAATTAAAGCTGGGATCCTAAGTATTTCATGTAAGGTCCTTTAAAAATAACACAGACTGTTCTATCACTTTCAACCTAGAATGGGGTAAAACTATTCTTCACCAAGAACTCAGAATCTGAACACCATTTCCCAGCCCTCTCCCTACATACCTATCATGTTAGGGTAACCTAATTTCAAAAAAGCTTTTCGAAAAAAATATTTGAAACAAATAGCCTTTGAACTGTAATATGGAATATAACAAGGTGGGTAGAATTAAGACACTGAAACCTTGCTATGAAAGTGTTATGGAATAGAAATCAACAACTTAGTGATTAAGAGCACAGACCTTTAAGAGCACAGATCTTCATTTGAGTCTAATTTATTAGCTGTATAATCCTGGATGAGCAAGTTACATAACAACTGAGTCTCAATTTCCTTTTCTCTAAAATAGTATGGACAACAGAATTTACATCAGGTAAATACTTAGTGCTTGGGTAGAGAATAAGCCTTCTATAAATTTGAGCCATTATTGTCTTTATTCTTATCTTCTATCATGGATCCTTCACACTGTATTTAATTACTGATATGTAAAAAGAATATATATTACAAAATTTTTTTTCCTATGGTGACCCCCATAACAAAGAATCCCCCAAATGATGTTATAATAAGGTTCATATATACCAAAATATTAAAACTCTTCTGGCCCGGCCAGTGTGGCTCAGTGGTTGAGCCTGGACCCATGCACCAAGAGGTCGCTGGTTCAATTCCCGGTCCAGGCACATGCCCAGGTTGCAGGCCCAATCCCCAGTGGGGGGCATGCAGGAGGCGGCCAATCGATGTTCTCTCTCATCGATGTTTCTCTCTCTCCCTCTCCCTTCCTCTCTCTCTAAAAATAAAGAAAAAGTAAATAAATAAAACTCTTCTGATTTACAAAAGCACATCCTTACCTTGTTTGGTGAATAAATATCATCTTGAAATAGTTAGAAAAAGCAGCAAGCACTGCTCTGTGGGCTTTGAAGTAAACATCTCCAATAGCAACTGTGCAATCACACAGAAAACCAAATTCTCGTTGCATGTTCAGCTGCTGCAGAAGGACAAGGCTATGGCTAGCTGTGTCCATTGTGGCTCTAAGAAAAAAGACAATATAAAGATTTTTTAAATACAAAATTGACTACAGTTCACACAAACCTACAGAGTACAAGGATATGTAAATTTAAATAAAATTATTCAACCATCTTCTTTTTTTTTAATCCTCACCCAAGGATATGTTTTTATTGATTTTAGAGGAGAGGGCGAAAGAAAGAGAGAGAAACATTGATATGAGAGAGAAACATCAAATGGTTTGCCTCCTGTACCTGCACAACAAAGGATCGAATCTACAACCTAGGTATGTGTCCTAACCAGGAATCAAACCCAAAACCTTGTGGTGTATGAGACGATGCTCCAACCAACTGGGCAACATTTTTTTTTTTCAATTATAGTTTACATCCCATTATATTGTATTACCCTGGCTGAGTAGCTCAGTTGGTTAGAGCATCATCCTGATACACCAAGGTTGTGGGTTGGATCCCCGGTGAGGGTACATATAAGAATCAGCCAATAAATACATAAATAAGTGCAATAATAAATCAATGTTTCTCTCTCTCTGTATATATATATATATATACACACACACACATATATATGTATACATATGTGTGTGTGTATGTATGTGTGTGTGTATATAAATATATAAATTTTGCATTAGTTTCAGCTGTACAGCATAGTGGTCAATACTTTTCTATACTATTAATTTCACCCCAAACCTAGCTAACATTAAATCCTCCTAATATGACAATCAGTATCTACTCTGCTGAAACCATAAATATTTGTGGGGTTTTTTTTATCATCTGGTAAAAAGGCAGCTTAGTATAAGTGATATAGGAGCAAAAGGAAGGCCTGTCTACTTTTATCTATACAAACACAATGTTTTTAGTCTTCAGTTTTCCTCACTGGAAAATGGGAATGATATTGATCCCTGCCTCAGAGCTAAATGAGATTAGTTATGTGAAAAGCACTTTGTTAATAAGATAACAGTGTGTCCTGGCTGGGCTAGAGCTGTCACTGTTCCTTAGAGATCCTTAGAGCTGTCACTGTTCCTTAGGAGGACACTGGCCTCCTAAGCATCACACAGTGTTTGGGAAAGTTATCACAGTAAGGTGAGGAGCCCTAAAATAGATGTCAAGCCCAGCCAGTGTGGCTCAGTGGTTGAGCTTCAACCCATGCACCAAGAGGTCACAGGTTTGATTCCCAGTTGGGGCACATGCCTGGGCTGCAGGCTTGAGCCCCAGGAGGGGGCATGCAGGAGGCAGCCAACTGATGTTTCTATCTCTCTGTCCCTCTCTCTTCCTTTCTAAAAATCAATAAAAACATATTTTAAAAATAGATGTCAAGCCACATCCTCTGATTTACATGGGGCCTGGGAGCCCGATGGGAAAGAACCTAAACCCTGATCTTAGCTGCACTCAGACACATACAAGTATGTAGAGTCATGAAGGAAGTAGAATGCAGGATGGGTGCACTGGTCTCAGGGGGAAAAATCATGCATGACAAAGAACATGCAAAAGAATTCTGGCAGAAAAGTCTAGTGTGAGTACAAGGACATTTTCGAGCGCTGTGGTTCCAGCCCGGCCGGTGTGGCTCAGTGAACTGAGCATTATCCCATGGACCGAGAGGCCCCAGTTTGATTCCTGGTCAGGGCACGTGCACAGGTTGTGGGCTCGATCCCCAGTAGGAGGCATGCTGGAGGCAGCTAATCAATTCTCACATTAATGTTTCTCTCTCTTTCTCTCTCCCTTCCCGTCTCTGTAAAGAATCAATAAAAACATATTTTTAAAAAAAAGAGTGCTATGGTTCCAGAGAGGTGGGAGGCTGTGCTTCACCATCTTCTCCACCCTAACTGTACAGAGAACCCTGGTGCTTTAGGAAGAAGGCATCACTGGGGGAGCTGAGAGAACCTCTTCTAAAAAAAAGCAGACCCTAAAAAGAGAAGGAAGTTTCCTTCCTAGCCAGAGACCAAAGGGTAAGGAGGTCAGTGATTAGAATGTGAGGTTAGCTGTGTGGACATTGGCAGTAGCTTGAGCAGCAGACAGCTGAGTGATTGATAATATAATAAAAATAGCTAACACTATATAGAGCTTACTATTGTGTCAAGCAATTGTTCACTGACTTAATTCTCAGTACAGCTCTATGAGAAAAGGAATATTCAGTGAATCTTACATATGAAGAAACTGAATCAGCACAGAGAATTAATTTACCCAAGGTCACACTACTATTAAGCAGCAGAGCAGGGGATTCAAACTCAGGCCTGGATTCCAGTATTCAAATGTCCTCTCTCTCTACCTCCCGGGGAACATGACACACAATCTGGAGGAGCCCAGAGAACAGGCCAGATTACACATCAAGGCACCCCGGGGAAGCCTCAGGAATATCTGGAGTAAAATTTTCTTCTGGGAGGGAAACTAGGGAGTAAGGAGTTAAGTGTGTGTGTGTGTGTGGGGGGGGGGGGACGACACACAATACTATTTAAACTTAAAAAAAACCAAAACCTTTTATGGAAGTTTTATATCATAATATATACCTCCATGTATTCCTTTTCCCCTCATTAAAAAAAATATTTTTTTCTTTATTGATTTTAGAGAGGGAGAAAGGTAGAGGGAGAAAGATATAGAAACAATGATGAGCGAGAACATCAACTGGCTGCCTCCTGCATGCCACCCATTGGGGAGTTGGCCCACAACGAGGGCATGTGCCCTGATCAGGAATAGAACTGGCAACCTCTTGGTCGATCGATGCTCAACCACTGAGCCACAACGGCCAGGCTCATTTTTTATTTTAAAAAAGTTTTTTAATTCTACACCTGAGTAAATGTGCTTTTTAAAATGTTTATTTAGCCCTGGCCAGTTTGGCTCAGCGGTTGGAGTGTCAGCCTGCGGTCCAGAGAGAGCCAGGTTCGGTTCCCGCTAAGGGCACGTACTCGGTTGCAGTTTGTCCCCGGCCCTGGTTGGTCGTGCGGGTGGCAGCCACTCGATGTGTCCCTTCACATCGATGTTTCTCTCTCTCTCTTCCTCTCTCTCTCCCTCCCGAGGACATTTTTCCATTTTTTGTCCAGATAGAGCGGGAGGGAGAGAGAGAGGAAGAGAGAGAGAGAAACATCGATGTGAAGGGACACATCGAGTGGCTGCCACCCGCACGACCAACCAGGGCCGGGGACAAACTGCAACCGAGTACGTGCCCTTAGCGGGAACCGAACCTGGCTCTCTCTGGACCGCAGGCTGACACTCCAACCGCTGAGCCAAACTGGCCAGGGCTATTTACTTATTTTTTAATCATGCTTTTTTTTTTAAATCCTTTTCCATTGATTTTCAGACAGAGTGGGAGGGAGGGAGAGAGAAACATTGATGTGAGACAGAAATATTGATTGGTTGCCTCCTGCATGCACCTGGACTGGGGATCAAACCTGAAACCTGGGTATATGCCCCAACAGGGAATTGAACCCACCTTTCCATGTACAGCACGATGCTACAACCAACTGAGCCACACCAGCCAGGGCTTCCCCTCATTTTTAAAAATTATATTTCCAAGAGACAAGTAGGTACAGGAAACAATGTAACTAATAACCACCTACCCCTAAACCTTATAAACCTGGTAGAGAACCCCTGGCATCTTCCTCCTCATTCTATCCACCCATTCACCTTGCTTCTAAAAGTAACCAACATCCTGAATTTGATGTTTATAACTCTCCTATATTTTGCCACAATATTATAGCATATGTATATATCCCTTAAGAAGGTATGCTATTGTTTTGCATGTTTTAAATTTTTATAAATATTGTACTTTAGGAATACTAAAACCTGCTTAATTTTACATTCATACATTATTTTTTTAAAATCGTATTCTTTTTTTTTAGAGAGAGAGGAAGGGAGAGAGGAAAACAGATCATCTGCATCCTGTACGCCCCCTAATGGGGATCAAGCCCACAACCCGGGCAAGTGTCCTGACTGGGAATCGAACTGGTGACCTCTTGATGTATAGAACAACATTCAACCAACTGAGCCACACTAGCCAGGGCTAAAATCCTACTTATTCAAACGTGTTTCCTCTTTTCTTCCCCCAGTTAAAACAAACAAAAAAACTCTTACCCCTTACATTCTCATTTTAAAATCCTTTAAATCAGCGGTTCTCAACCTGTTCGTCGCAACCCCTTCGGGGGTCGAATGACCCTTTCACAGGGGTCACCTAACACACAACAGTAGCAAAATTACAGTTATAAAGTAGCAATAAAAATAATTTTATGGTTGGGGGTCACCATAACATGAGGAACTGTATTAAAGAGTCCGGCACTGCCCTGGCTGGTCTGGCTTAGCGGTTAGAACGTTGGCCTGCGGTCCAGAGAGACTTGGGTTCGGTTCTCGCAAGGGCACATACCTTGGTTGCAGTTTATCCTCGGCCCTGGTTGGGTTGTGTGGGTGGCAGCCACTTGATGTGTCCCTTTCACGTCGATGTTTCTCTCTCTCTCTTTCTCCCCACACCCTATCTGAACAAAAAATGGAAAAATGTCCTCAGGTAAAGATTTAAATAAATAAATAAATAGAGTCCGGCATTAGGAAGGTTGAGAACCACTGCTTTAAATAGTAATGAAATAAGAAATAACAAGATAGCCCTGGCTGGTTTGGTTCAGAGATTAGAGTGTTGGTATGTGGACCAAAGAGTCATAGGTTCAACTCCGGTCAAGGGCATCTACTTCAGTTGCAGTTTGACCCTGGTCCTGGTCGAGGTCGGGGTCTTATGGGAGGCAGCCAGTAGATGTGTCTGATGTGTCTCTTTCACTTCTTTGTTTCTCTCTCTTTCTCTCCCTCACTCCCACTCTATCTGGAATTAAATGGAAAAATATCCTCGGGTCAGGATTAAAAAAAAAAGAAATAAGAAAATGACAAAACCTGCCCTGGCTGGTTTGGCTCAGTGGTTAGAGCATTGGCCTGCGATCCAGAGAGACTTGGGTTTGGTTCCTGCTAAGGGTATGTACTTTGGTTGCAGTTTGTCCCCAGCCCTGGTTGGGTCATGTGGGTGGCGGCCATTAGATGTGTCC